ATAATAATAAAAAAAATCAATAATGAATAAGGCACCGCAGGATTCATACATGCAATCAGGTGTCTGCCATACTAGGTTCACAGCCATGAAGACAATCCTCACAGAACTAGTTTTGGCCTGGGAATGTGAGCATGGCGTTTGCCATGGAACGATTATAGATGCTCCTCATGCAGGTATGAGCGGCCTTCAGATTATCCTTATTGTTATATAGGACCTCGTTTTTTAAAGTGCTTTTTTTTTTCCGAACAAAACTTTGTTAAAGGAAAGCAGTTGCTGAGCACTCCTGGAAAATGCTGGTTACCTGCCCATCTTGCTGAATTCTTTAATACTTTGTGAATCCCGAACTACAACTACGCAGATCAAGAGTTCCAATGTTACTCTATCGTTCCTGAGCTGCAGGTGTTGCCCAGCGCGATGACCCAAATTATTGTCAATGAAAGCCAAGCAACCAGCATTTTCAGAAGAGGACCAGCAATTAAGCCTCCGTATTTCTCTCAGTACAGGTTTCCAATAATACATATTTTTTATGACATTTTATTCATCTTCGTCTGAGATCCTCCACTGTGAAGTTGATCAATCTAGACAACATTACATAGACCTGCCAGTCTGGATACAGAAATCTATTGTCATTGTGAAGTCTGATTACGCACCCTGTGTATATACTTACCAGGCAGCAACATGTGTAGTGAGGGAACAGAAGACTGGCAGATCTGTATAAAGTACAATTCATTTCTTACAGTTCTCATCACCTGCCGCTGATATAGTAACGGGAGGAAGCTATGATGTAACATTTTCATTCTATCATATACTTCAGGTACCACTTTGATACTTGAAAAGGAAAGATCACAATAAGTATAAAATGTGAAGCAAAACAAAAAGGAATATATTACAAGATTTGGCAGATTTCATTAGCAATAATAAAAAAAAAAAAAAAAAAAATGCAACTCTGTACAGCTATATACACATATAAAAGTGAGAGCAAGGCAAATATTAAAGAATGATACAAATTTGTGAATACAAACTTACTCAACATGCAAGCGGTACAGAATAAGAAATGCAAATTAGTAATATACAGCCAAATCTGAGTAATCACATACTCATAGGAAATGTCCTGTTCATTATATTATAGACTCATCAACATGAATATGAAGCACATGGGACAGACACAAGTATAAGGGTTCTTGCACATGGCAGTAAATGGCTGCATAGCGTGCAATATGGACGTATTTTCTCTGCTGGGAGTTAACAGGTGAAGTGTACAGCCGCAGCCAGTCATCCTGTAGTAATCAAAGACAGGCAGTGGCTGCAAGCAAATACACATGGATCCAATCAGCTACGCGTGTACATGGCCATATGCACCTCACTGAATGCAGACAGTCTGCGTTCAGGAGGGCATGCGGCCCAATACGTATGTAGCTATTCAGATTTGCGTGTATATGCATGCAGCCCCTGCCAGGTAATCATTTCTACAGGCTGGCTATACGCTGAACCTACTCCCAGAGAAGAAAATACAGCCGTATTGTATACTGTATGGTCATTACCATGCACATGAGCCCTAATTCATCTCTGTTAAGCTCAAGGACAGAACTGAAAATCTAACCTGTTACTCACATAAGCTCCTGAACCCTATTCATGACCTTGTGGTGGGAAGTACATTAATGCACTTGAGTAACATTTACAGTAGTCCGGTGAAGCAATTTATTTTCCCCTAATAACACGGACCAGACAGCAAAATGTGAAGCAACTTGCAACAACCAATCATAAATCAGCTTTCATTAGACTGTATATTCCAAGGCTTTTCAAGACAGAATCTTGGCTCTGTGCACTTAACTTTATTAAAGTCATAGGTGGTGCTTCTATTGGTCTGGCTGTAATCCAGTTGCTGCTGCTTCTAACACAACACTTCACTTGAATATTTGGACAATTTGTTTATATTGGAAAGTGACTACAAATGCATATAAAGAAAATGGCTGACATTTACAGATGCTTTCTATATACATTCACCAAAAAAGTGGGAATACAACAATGATGTCGAGTAAAACTAAAATCATACACGTTGTGCATGCTTTATTGCAGGTGGCACCTATGCTTTGCTGTGGTCACAGGGTTCAGTTACATGGAAGCGTTTCTATTATGGACTCATGTGCATGACCATTTGTTTGTGCCTGAAATGCTATTCCTCTCAATACAAGTCAATGTAAATGTAACAGGAGGACAAAGCAAAGAAAAAAACAGCTCAAAGCAACTCTGAGCAACACAAATGCAAACTAAAGCAACACAGAAGCACTTTACTTATTACTGAATCTGATGCCTGTATACATGAGCCCTAAAATATTTATAAGGGAGGACTACACAGGAGAGTATACTGCCCCATCTCATACATTTTCTTTATGTAAATAATCAAACACATACAAGTTTGCATAGTCAAACAGACTGTAGTAGCTGAACATAAATGTTTGGTGCAATGTGCGCTCCTAACCACATCAATATGTTCCCGGGTGTGAAGTCCCCAAAGACTACAAAAAGATATGGGCATAGTGTGGTGGCTGTGCAACAAGCACCCAACACCATAAACCACACTTGCAGCTCAAGCAATTACACATCCAAAGGAGCCCTTCTAAAAAACAGTTTTGCTTCTTTTCAGCAAAGAGTACAAATAAAGTGTCATAAGTCTTATAGTGACATAAGAATCACGCTGCTCAAACAATAGGTTGACGAAATATAAAGGAGAACTCCAGGGAAACCACTAAAACACAGTTTAAAAGGAACTCTTCTCATTGTATCGATCTATATCTCTCCATAGGATAAGAAGGCTTAATAAGCATTTACCTTGGCTGTATAGTAATGTAGAGTCATTGCTCTTAAAGCAGCTTAAAAACGTTTTTTTCTTTTGTGTCACTGGATAGTATAGCTTTTGGGGATTGCCACCACCCTCCACTGCTGTCAATACTCCGGTTATATGAGCCACCAGCTATCATGTCTCTACCCACATCTATGACTGCTTATTCACAAAATGCATCTTGTGAGGACATTGCAGCCATGACTTTTGTGAAAAGGAAATCGTAGATGGGGGCAGAGACATGGCACCAGTGCTGCTGTCTATCAAACCTGTATCATAGATGTTGAGGGAGATGGACAGCAGGAGCTATACTATACTGTAAACTATGAAAGCAATCAATCAATGGTGCCTAAATATGGGCTTTAAGCTGAACTAGGAACAGTGCAATGATGTTCCCAGCTCTGCAGTGTGACAGTGACACTAAAATGTAAATATGAGATTGTAGTCTATCACGGGAGTGAGATTGGAGCGGTGGCTATTCTACAACACACACAGGGGCCGTGGGGAACAAAAGTAGCACCAATTCAGAGATGATTTGAGGATCTACAGCTGAGTGATACACAAATAAACTACATTTATGTTATTAGTAGGGTACTTGAATGCATTTTTTAACATTTAACTCGTAAATTTAGGATCACATTCATCATATGACCTGCTGAACAGAAGAAGGGGGAAAAAAATAATATATAATTGCCAGGTAAAGCAGTTCACATATATAATTCAACTCTGACATGACAACTAGCGCTCTCCTTAAACAAAACATTTTAGTGGCCTCAGGTTGTATGCAAGTTCTTACATTAAGACAAACAGGAGAGTTAAAGCACAAAAAACATAAAGCAAGCATATATGATGTAATCACGGGGATGGTGGCTTTGTGTTTGCATGCTTTTTCCCCCAGCTTTTCTATACGCTAAAAGGAGTAAAACAGATCATAATACATGTTGCCGCCATTTTTATGGGCTCGAAAACTGAGGCCTAATGCATATAAAACTGTCAAGCCAGTTTGCATTGAGAGCTGAAGGCATTTTGTAAGGCTGGGCATAGAGTTTTATAATCATCTGTTGTACTCCTGCTGAACAGAGCTCATACAGTAATAATTATAGGTCTCTGATGGTGCTGCACTCAACTGATCACTTAGATTCCATTCACACACCATCTTGTTACTGGAACACGCATTGTGTTGATGTAATGCAACGCACCCACTAACAGACGTCCGTTTCGGTGCAACACATTTATGTGCATTACAGTGCACTGCTAAAACCGGTGCATGCACCCTTGGCAGGTATGTTAGGGTGATATCCAGCATGTATGGCACAGCATTGCACCAATGCATTTGATCTGCGTTTCCGCAAGATGTTGTGAACAAATCCTAACCATGGTATACGTAGTCTATATAGGATTACAGCTGACTCTAAAACTAGCACTCCAATTATTTTAGTACATGGGTGCACCATCATAATCTGTATGTATTCTGTAGGACATCCTGTATCATCTACTGTCCTCAAACTGTATGATGCAGGGTGTAGAGTGAGAGAGAGAGGAGAGAGAGCGAATGAATACATATGAAAGTGAATGAATGAGAATATTTTCTTACAGCCATCTGCCCCCACTAAACTGAGATCAGCCTTTGGTTAATGTGGGGATAGAACGCCAATCAATGCACAGAGCTTAAATATTCCCTTATTGAAAGTTCTATCTACCCTTCAATTTTCCTTTTCTGTAACGGAAAGGAGCACAGAGATAAAAGAAAATGCTCATGCACACTTTTCCGCCCGTGACAATGTTCTAAGCCTCCACAGCACACTAACAAAACATTAAACCTAGGCACAACAGCAATAAATTAATGGTAATGGCACCAGGCTTCCTAAATGTCCTCTTTATAGATGCCCATGATTACAGCACGCCAAATCAAAATACATTCTCAGTCCTTGATTTACATATATAAATAAATAGGAAAAATATACTTCAAAACATATGTATTGCATAAATACCTGGAAGAAGCAGGCATAATGTGCATAATGTACACAAACACTGTACAAACTATACTGTACCCAAAATACACAGCCCCCTTGCCACTTTGCGTCCTGTAACAGTCCTTCACACAGGAGGAGGAGGAGGAATTAAATTTATTACAAGGAAGGAAAAAAAAAAATGTGCAGGATTTCCAGAGTTGAAGGGAAATTAGAACTCTGACACAGTCTTTAAAGAGGAACGGAATGTCGCACCAACAGATTTTTACTTTGGCGACAGATCATCCAGAGATATGAATGAAGAGCAGGAATTGGAACAAGCTGCTGGAGAGTCGGTAACGCAGCCATCTTTAGCAGCAGAGTCCAAGGAGGAGCCAAGGCTGCTACTACTGTCAAGGTCTGATGAAAGGCTGGGGGGGGAGAAAAAAAATTAAATCAGATGAGTCACTTATTTTAAAAGGCGTAAATTAATCACAAATAAAACAAATCTAGCAATACAACATAATAAATGTCCGGCTATTTATTTTTATAGAGTGTGGAAGGATTGGAACCCCTGTCGAGTTTGCTACTATCCAGGGCCCCTTCACACCGTACGCTTCTGTTGCATGTTACCATATGCAGGTTACGGCAACTTCATTTACAATGGGCTGCCAATGCAAGTCAACAGAAGAATAACCAGACCAGCACAAAATGTTGTGCGTTATGTTAATGCAGTGTTTTACCATACATTACCGCAATGCCAATGTGTGAAGCCAGCCAGAAGAATTTCCCCTCAATTACCATCCTGGTAAAGGTGGTTTTACCAGACAGGGAGTAAGAGGAAAAGCTACAGCAGCAACACATACAGAATAAAATGCTTCAGAAACCAGCAAACGTGAGCCTGTTACAGAAGGTGCAAGGTTGGGTATATTACAATCTAAAATGTTACCTAGTTTGGATTTTGGAATCTTGAAACAAAGTTTGATGTTCCAGAAGTGTTGTTTTAGGACACCATGATCACGAATTATGTGACATAAAAAAATAAACAAACAACCCAAATAAACTAAAAAAGAACTTGTTTCAGAATGTTGTTGCCCTTGTGTGTATGTTCCACATTTTTTGTTTTATTCAATTTAGTTAGTAAGCTAAATGGAATGAAAATAGTAACTTTATTACTCGGCGAATGTTTGTATTATGTATTGTATTATACAAGTTGCTATTTTGATTTTTTTATTGTGAAAAATACAACAAAATAAAAAGAAAAAAAGCCAAACTATTTGAAATGTATCGGTTAATACTTCTAATTCCTTTTGTTATCCTTTATGAAGGAATTCGTTATAAACAAACCCATTCATAGTAGTCAGATGTCAAACACCAACATTGTTTTCACCTGACTTGTATGAAGTCATATGAATGGGATGGATTAGCTACAAACCCATTTATAATGTATGAATAAGAGTGAAAGTAAGCAAAGCCATTCATATGAATGAGCGCAGTGTTGGAAGGTGGCATTAGAGGGTCATTATAGAGAAAGGTGGTGAAACTTGAAAATGGCGACCTTTGCGGCTGCTGGAAGATTCTGCCCTCCATATTTCCTCTCACATAAATCAATATATGAAAATTATACAAATAAAATATGGTTTTAATGTTGGGTGCAGTGTGGAGGCATTTGGGGCACCACTAGAAGAGATGCTGCCTGGGAGATTTCTCTCCAAGCTGGTTCTACAGGAGTGAGCTCTTCATTTATTTCAAGGGTGAGTCCACTAGGGAGGGGTGAGATGGAAATGCTGAAGCATGCATTACTCATGTATTATGATTTCTAAGATACACCTGTAACCAATAATCTAGTACCTGGCAAACAGCTATAAACTCAATTGTTTTAAATAGTGACAGGCAAGCCCAGTGAATCAGCGTGCAAGCGTAAACTCCACTTGCGCCTACGATTTAAGCAATAAATGCATTATGAATACACTGCAGCTACTCCAATTTAACATTTTGTACAGGGGAGGACCCGGGATCCTAGACGAACTCTGAAAAACATTGTCTCAACTGTTAAATGCGAGTGATCACTAAGAGAAAAGGATTGCCCCTGTCACACCATCAGGAGTGCGTTTGGCCTCTGGAACGCAACCCAGCCGGTTCAGTTTTTTTGGGGGCGGGAGGGCGCGTGGCGCTGCATTGAACTCAATGGCAGCCACAGCCCACGGTGCGATTGCCGGCACCTGAACACGTGGCACATTAGTGCCTGCATTTCTGGTCCAGTGCGATCTGCAAACACCACACCTCCTCCCGCCCCAAATAAAACTGAGCCGGCAGGGTTGCGTTCCAGAGGCCGAACGCACTGGAACGCACTCTTGATGGTGTGACAGGGGCCTAAAAGAGATTTTCCAAGCAGCTAGAAATTCAATAACCAGCGTTTCCGACTGCTGGAGACGCTGCCTATTGCCTGGAGTTGAAACCAGGAGCCGTCCTGAGGTCTTTGCGTGAGGTTTGATCCAAATGAAAAAACAGACTCTCTACAAGGCAAATTACAGCTGTGACGGAACAAAGATGCTGCACACATTTTGTGACATACAGGTGACTACTAAATGGAGCAGCTAGAAATCGCTATATAAAAACAAATACATAAGTAGAACAGATTTTTAAGTTATATGATACAATAGTACATCAAGATATGCACCTAAAATAATGTATAGTTTACCTTTAACAGGTCAAGTTTTTTTTTTTTTAATGTTCAAAGTTTTATTAGCTGGTCTTCTATAACATTGCCTTTACAGATTGTACAAAAGAAATCAATACATGATGCATCTGAACAGTTTTTTGCAGAGCATGCTGTACTTTCTAATAAGAAAGCCAAGTACTAGCTCTGCATTTGTTGATTGCCTCTTTAAGGGCCCATTCACACAAGGGCTATCGCTGCCATTACCGGGCATTAGGTTGCTGCCAAAATTGCATCTGTTGCGGGTTCTTTAGGATGCATTTATTACAACACGTTACTGCAAAGCAATGGCGTAATTGGGCCCTTAGTGAAAATTCATACCGGTCTGGAGGACAAAGACAGAGCTGAAGGGGTAGATCTCAGGTGAATTCAGGACAGATGTAGAACTTCTACCAGCAATCTCATGCGGGCTGCAAGTTGAAAATATCATATATAGCCAACATTTGCTTGAATAATTGGAAATAAATTTTAAAATGTTTCTGAGGCCTAAGCATAACTTTGGATCACTTTTAAAGCGATTACTTGATAAATGTGTGACTTTTATAGCCTGCTTTTATTCAGATTTCTGAAATATTATAGAGGTGAGAGGTTATTAAAAATATATCTCCTGAGGTCCCAAGCAGGAGTTGCCAACATTACGTGTCCATAAATATAACCAAGACAGATGCTTATACCATCTTACCAACTGTAATCTGACAGGTGAGTCACGTCCGGGGACAGCATGTTTGTCGTTCCTTGAAACAGCCTCTTTGGTTGGGTTTCCATTTCCATTTCACCTGAAAGTATGAATACAGACAAGTTTATTCAGAGTCCCTTAGGAAAATATGTTTTGGTCTTTTTTTTATAGCAAATAAAGTGAAATTGCTGGCAACAGGGATGCAGTTAATGATACACTGGAATGAAAGCAAATGTGCTAGAGTCAGTCAAAGTTCTCCATGTAATCATAGAAAGGCTGATTCAGCAGATCTTGAGACAGCAAGCAACTGTCACATACTCAACATTGCCATGTTGCCTTGTACCATCCTGCCTCACTCCGCTGTTCAGCTGCCTTTTGACAGCTTATAGCATGGCACTAGTGCATCAGTCTTGTTGGCCAAATGTTCTTTGCATTTGCGCTTTACGCTTTGCACGCTGATTCACTGGGCTTGCCTGTCACTATTTAAACATCTCTTCCCACCCACACTACTGTCATTGATTCCCAAGAGACAAAAATGAGACTTCTCGCAGACAGATCTAGGGGCATTTTAGTCTGGCAGGGCATGCCTATGGATACAGGAAGACATGCGCTGTGGATCGCTTTCACTGGCAAAGGATAGGCGTGCTAGGCAACCTATCAAGGCCTCACAGGCAAGCTGCATCACGGCACCTCTGCCTTACTTCATCCTTCTGTAGATAAACCCCATTAAGCACCCTGACCTGTGCATGATGCTGGCAAAGAACAGTGTAAAATACTACTATTTATCCTGCACTACACAGCTGGCAGCCCTACTGGCTCTATTCCCTTTCTCCAATGCATCACAAGCTTAGGAAATGGAGTCTCAGAATAAGTTTCTGTTTATCAGGGAAATATTGCTACAGGGTTTGCCAGTCTTTTCCAGGGGTAGTATTGCCAAGATATACAAAAAAAAAAAAGGCTCTGTAAAGACTGCTAATAACTATCACTATAACCAGAAATGTGTGCTTTCCTCATAAGTCCCTCTTATCAGTGCACACACAGCCATTGAAATGGGCGAATCCTTGAGTTCAAACCCATCCCTGCCAACAGCCATGACACATTAGAACACAATCTTGCTGCAAGAATACACTGCACTTAACAAAGGGAACTGAATCACACAGATGGCAGCAGAGAGCTGCTCAAGTATTATTTTACATGATACATTTTACACTCTGCATTTGCATCCAAGACTTTTACTGAACTCGATTCATGGCTGCAGTTGGGAGCGTGCTCAGTGATACACACCTCTAAGTGCACACTACCTCTCAAAATAAAGCCACTTAAAACTTTTAGTCTCCAAAGTCACCATAATAACACTGGAACATGATGTCAAGGGGACAGGGTCCCCTATTTGGTGTAACATACAAGCTACTAGGTAACAGTACAATCAAAGATATTAACAAATAACTATAAAAAATTTGATTTTCTAGTTTCCTGCAATAAAATTTTTTTCTTGAGCTGGTTAACTTGGCATCCTGGTGACTTGGCCATAATTCGACCATTATGTGGCCCTGTCAGCACCCATCTTGAGCTGGTAGAACTGGCATCCTAGTGACTTGGCCATAAATCAACCATTATGTGGCCCTGTCAGCACCCATCCTGAGCTGGTAAAATTGGCATCCTAGTATCTTGGCCATAATTCCACCATTATGTGGCCCTGTCGGCAACCCTCTATTTGCCAAAAGTTGATTTCTCAATAAGATTTTGTTGAAGGAGCCAGTCCCAGATTTCTCGATCAGCTGCAGTCATTGTTCAGATATTCTGACAGCAGCACAATCACTGCTGCCAGACTACAATAGTCTGGGGGGTAGGGGATCCCCCCAACCACACTGTTTAGCAGAGAAATCAAGTGTTTTTTTCTCATTTAGCCTGTGGGGCTGAACAAAAAAAAATAAAGTGTATTGCAAGCTTAAATTCTAGCAGCAAAATACTGTTGTTCTTTAAAGACGTTGTACATCAGTGATAAGACACGCTGAGGTTCTCTGGCTGCAGTGAAATGTCAATCTCCACAGTATCCTGCAAGCCAATGGCTATCTGCATTCATGAAAGAGGCTGGCAGGGTATTCTGGGACTTTTATCTTCAGAAAAACTAGGGAGCCAAAGGGCGCCAGTGTATGTACTTCACCATACCTTTTCTTTTTATAGGGCCGAAGGCACTTGGACGAACGCAGTTGATGGGGCTCTGACTCCTCCTGCTAATAAGAATGATGTATATCACAATTCAAATTGAAATAGTTCATATTAATATATGCATTATCTTCTACTGTTTTGCCGCCCTTTCTGCCAGGACACATGGTAACACTATTACCTTGTCAATTATGAATTGGTTTAGTACAAGTTAACTGTCAAAAAGTGTCAATTTTTAGAGTCAACTAGCAAAGCCTTATCCATCATTCCTCGCTCGGCTGATATTACGGTGCTGAACTGTATTGTGAGAACTGATTTTTAAAGGTTATAATTTAACTTGTGCTGAAATATACACATTTTTACTTGCGGTTTGCTCTATATTTTCATTAATGTATGTGACATACAGCTCAAAAAATGATTCCACTAGTGGCTTTCTGTAACAGGGGATGTGATAAGCATTGCTATATAAAGAAATGGGTTCGCTTTAATGTTGCCTTTACAAGTAGCACATGTTCACCTTCCTTTTACACCCATACCATTTCATTCGACTGCCAGGAACACCTAATACTTCAGAGTATGGCGGAGAATAGAAACTCACTCCCCTTACTCCCACTTGACAGTGCCAGAGTTTGGCTATTGAGAACTCAAGCACCCAGCACTGTTACATAGTTACATAATATTTGAGGTTGAATAAAGACATAAGTCCATCAAGTCCAACCTATTAGGATCTAATTCTAAGGAGTACTTGTACCCCTGTATATTACGGTCCCTCAGGAAATCGTCCAAAAGTTTCTTGAACAATTCCACACTCTTAGCTGAAATCCCTGTCTGCGGCAAAGAGTTCCAGACCCTACCCGCTCTAACTGTGAAGAACCCCCTTTGCCCCTTGTGCTGGAATTTTTTTTCCACCAATTTTAGGTGGTGGCCTCTAGTTTTTGTAATGGAGTTAATTTTAAATAGTTTGTCGCTAATGTTGCTGCCACCATTGAACATCTTGTACATGGAAATCATATCACCCCTTAATCTCCTCACCTCCAATGTGAACATGTTTAAATTTATTAGCCTCGTCTCGTAGCTCTGGTCCTCCATACCCCTAATTAGTTTGGTTGCCCTCTGCTGGACTTTTTCCAGCTCAAGGACATCTTTTCTTAGTACTGGTGACCAGAACTGGACCGCGTACACCAGATGAGGTTGAACCAATGATCTATATAGAGGCACAATTATAGACTTGTCCCTGCAATACATCCCCTTCTTAATACAGGACAAAACCCTACTGTTATTAGGGGTAAGCAGAGAGTCCGCAGCCCTGTGTAAGCTCCAGGTTCCAACTTGAAACATACACAGGGCTGACTCTCTTTGCTTCTGGGTGATAAACACAGTGGCAAGGGATTGAAGGAAATATATGTGCAGCTGCTGAGGCTGGTATTAAATCTGCTGTTTGGTCTGCACTGGCAAAGCTCAGGTTCACTTTCAAATGCTGATGTAAGCGCAGTTATATATCTCCAAAATAGGCAGATGCAGCATTCTGTATTTTACTTCATTTGTTAGAGATGCAACACACAAAATATCAGGTGAGTGATCATGTTCCGAGACCCCGCCAGGGTGGAGAAGGATATTAAGAAACATGAGGTATTTTGGATACACACCCTGGACACATGTTCACCACAGGATCTGAATCATAATTATGATCTAGTGTCTTGACTTTGGTGTACTGCAAATATGGTTGTAAAGCAGGCACTTAGGAGGTGCTAGTATATTCCTATACATATTTGCTGCAAAAGCCAGGGTGCTCCTTATGCCAGTACCAAATTAAGAAAGAAATCTCAGTCTTGGCCTCACTTTTGGTCAATAAGAATGGCTGCTTCACTGACCAGGAGATGTTAGAGGGAGTGATGCTGGGCTTGACTTTCTACAGATGGTAACTTCCTAATAAACTGGCACAGGTTACTGGCTCCTAAAGTTGTTCACAAACGTATGTGCAGGTACCACTGGCTGCCTTCTTACAGCCACAATGTAGTAAGCCAACTCTGATATTATGATAGGCATACTTTAATTTTGATAGCAGCGAGCAGTAGACTTGATAGAGGGATGAGAGAGGAACATTAAAGCAGAACAGAACTTGGCGACATAGAAATAAGGATGTCCATTTTGAATAACGTAGCAGTATTATTCCACCACCCAGCTTGTACAGAAAATCTGGTGAGCGGAATAACTCCTAATAATTTTGGATATATGAGCAGCTGTGTGGGGGAAGAGACAGACCAACCTAATTGAAGAGTAAAGCTATACACCTATAGATTATCTGCAGATTTTCTATGGTCAGATGGAAAAAGTGCAACAGATTCCTCCATCTACGCTAAACTGTGTGGATGGAGGAATCTCCCAGTGGTCCAACTTCAGTATCTTGCTAGTCGACCCCGCCGGCTCTCGAAAAACCTGAGCAATGCCTGCATCCAATCAGATTGTTCTGGTATTTTGACAGCCAGCAGGGCCGGCTAGCAAGATACTGAAGCTTGGATTTCTCCATCCACACAGTTTAGCGTAGATGGGAGGAATCTGTTGCGCTTTTTCCATCTGACCATAGAAAATCTGCAGATAATCTATAGGTGTATGGCCAGCTTAAGACTGTCCTGAAATGTCCACAAGACCAGCATCTCAGCATGATGCTGTGCCAATTGGTTCAAGAGAAAGACGTACCTTACAAAAGTGACCTATTTAGGTTGTTTTCCCCTTCTAAGTAAGGTGTGACTGTTTCCTATCCCAAGTACTGGAGTTTCAGGCCCTCTCCTCTGCTAGGTCACAATAAAATGCAGAAGACCCACTGGAAACTTCAATGAATGCGTTTTTAGCGAAATCCGACATTCAAGTAGATAACATGTTAAGAGAAAATGGTTTCAAGAGAAAACACCTGTAATGCTAAAACCACCCAAGGGGAAATGGCAAATGGGGAAGGAAAGCCTCTGATCTTTTTGCAGTCAGCCCAGAGTTTTTTTATGAAATGTCATACTTACGTTGTAAAGCGTCTTGTAGGGCTAGGTATGGGGCTCGGGGGCAAGCCATTACTGCTCACAAACATTTGCAGAGAAGGAGAAAAACATTGCTGTAGGTGAAAAAGAAAATGCAATTACAAATTGATTTGCTCATTTCATGTCCACTTCATTGAGAAGCTCACTGAGCTTTAGACATTCAAGAGAAGAATAGTGGAGTTAGGTGTGTCACTATGCCTCACATTCATTCTTTCCAGGGAAGGGAAGAATCATTCAGTGAACTGCTAATGCAGTACACAATAGAAATATGCTAACGTCAATACAATTCATAGTGATTTGAGCATTATATTCTCTCGTACAGCCAAAACATAAACCAACATTGAGTCTGGTACCAGCAGGTACCTACAAAATACTAGAACAATGACTACCATAGTGTATACAGGCTAGGCCAGTTCTGATGCAAATAGTAATCGTTAAATACAATGTGCATGTCAAACCACAGATCACTGCAGTAGGTAAGGGAAGTTCAGTATTTGTCCTCGGATCACTAAATCAAAAGATGCACATAACACTTCACTAATGGATCTGATCCAGTAATGTAAAAAACACAATATATGTATTAAGACTGATTAAAAGGAGAACTATGAGGGGAGTGCTTTTCACTCACCTCATAGTTCTAGCCGACCTGTGACAATGAGACGGTCACAGGTCGGCTCAGTTGATCGAGAAGTGAGAGAGCACATACCGGCGTTCCCTCACCTCTCGATCCTGTCACAGCTCTCTGCCGTGACAGGGGAGGGGCTGGATTCCCCGCTCCGATCCGCCAGCGCTGACTGGCGGATCGGAGGGGGGAGGGGGCGGGTACAGCTGGCTCTGCCTCTAGATAGGCAGAGCCAGCTGTCACTCACGCAGCTGGGCAGGTCCAGACATAATTGTCGGGATCCGCTTCAGCTGCGGTGTCTCAGTATACCGCGAGCAGTAGCTTGCGGTATACTGCACTAATACGCATAAGAAATTTTACAGAGCATAGCCCATCTCTAACCTGAATTCAAAGTCAGCCCTGAATACCCCAAAAGGTTTGCATGTATGAGTAGGTGCGTTCTTTTGAACACAAAAAGACAGGCAACTCAAATCTTTTTTTTCAAAAATCACCCAAACTAGGTGAAATAAATGTCACATGATACTTGGCTGCCAATCATAATCATCCTATCTGCTTAGTTTAACTGTGCCAATATAAGAAATTAAAGGATCATTCAACCCAATATCCAAATGTCTGTTTCCAGGTATAGGAAGATAGCCTACTAGGTCTTTACTGCTGTGAAAGGCCCAGAGAGATCTCTCTTAATCACCAGCATGGATGTGATGCGCCAACCGTGGCTTTTTAGCCTGGATTCCTAAACCTAAGTGGTTGGTCCCTATAATTGCAATACAGAATCCACTAGAGGGAGCATGACACTGCGGTTCTATGTCCTGTGACCTCTAGTGGTTTCTTCACAGGAGCATGTATAAAATTAGCTGAGGTAAGTGAAAACATTATCTCTGCTGTGAAGCTAACATTCATCTGACACCTTCAGGGTGCAGAAGAGTGGGGGGCAACTGTAAAGAAGAGGCACCTGTCTTTTAGAGCAGGCCTTCTTAAACTTTCTCCACTCGTGACCCCTTTTTGGCAGAGGAAATTTTGAAGGGACCCCAACGTCGGTAGGTGTCTCCCGCCTCCCCTAGCGTAAGTCGGTGTCTCTCTCGTCTCTTCTTCTCCCCCCCCCAGCGTCGGTCAGTGTCTCTCTAATCTTCTCGCCCCAACAAAAACAATCTAGCTTGGAGCCCAGACCTCCTTGGCCGCCCGGGCCCCTCACACAAGTACTGGCCATACCCCCCGATGGCGGTCCTGGCCGGGGACTCGGATCGCGACCCCCCTGTTAACTTGCAGGACCCCACATGGGCTCGCGACCCACACTTTAAGAAGCACTGTTTTAGAGTGGCTGCTGAAATGTACAAAACTATAAAAATGGGTTATAGATTACCTTTCCAATTCCCCTGGTGGGGGAAGGAGCAGGAGACACTGGTGCAAAATCAATGCGTTTTGGAGACGAGGATTTATCCAACTTGTCAAAATCATTGTCACTCTGTAAATGGAGAGAAAAATCACATACATAGAAGATATCCAGGACACTTAGTGGCTCAGTAAGGAAAGTGCCTGAAAAACTAATCTATAAAAATAAAATTGTCTTCTAAAGTCTGGCCATCCCGCTTTGCCCATCCACACTATACAGTGTGGATAGGGAATCCCCACCGGGTTAATGTATTCTGACAGCGGCAGGGGTGCTGATGTAAGAATACCCAAATGGTGACTGCAGATGACTGAAAAATCTTTTTTTCGTTGAACAGGGAAGTCCTGAGGGGGCACACAGACTGCTCAAATTTCAACCAGTGTATGGCCAGCTTAAAATCAGATCACATAATGCTATTGGCCTGCTTCCAATTTGATTCAGGCCAGAAAGAGGGACTGCTGTGGAGTCTCTAGTTTGTAACTTGTGGTAGTGTTATGACACCGGGGGGATAAGCTTCAGACACATGGAGAGGCACTGATGTCACAGGAGTGTTCGCCCCTCCATGCGCTCTCTGAAACTAAGTGGCACCTTCATTTAATTGCAATGCCACAACCACACCACGAAGGACTGTAACCCAGCTCAGAGCCGAGATTTAGTGCCAATTTATCAAGAATGATACCAGGATTGCAAGAGTTTGTTGTTACAAATTCATTTTTTTTTTTTCTAAAACAGCACTCCCAACGCCACCCTCCAAACTTCCCTTCACCAGTGGCGGGGTGGAGATAGAGACTACACTAATAGGGTTATTCACAAAAGGGTGAAGAGTTTGGAGAAGGCAGGAGAAGTGAACAATCTAGGCCTGGGGTAGGCAACCTTGGCTCTCCTGCTGTGCTGAAACTACAAATCCCATAAGGCATTGCAAGCCACAGGCATGATTCCCAGAGGCAGAAGCATGATGATTTGTAGTTTCAGCACAACTGGAGAGCCAAGGTTGCCTAAACCTGATCTAGGCCAAAATAGCTGAACTGGAGAATTGTTACAAATCAGCTATGTTGTCCTGGATTGTTCCCTTCTCCTGCCTTCCCCAAACTCTTCACCCTTTTGTGAATAACCCTTTGCCCTCGTTTACACGACTAACAGCCGGCACGTAGAGATCCGTGCATGGCCGTATTGGGCTGCTCCTGGGAAGGACAGGTTCTGCGTGTGATTACTCGTACGCTGACAGAGTGGATCCTCTCCGTGTCCGAGCAGGGACACCTGTACCCTTACGGACATGCAGGTCCGGTGAGCTTAGGGTGGTGTACTCCCATAGAGAAGAACAGGCTGCTGTGTACAAATCACACGCAGCACCTGTCCTTCCTGGGAGCGGCCCGATGTGGCAGTGCACGCAGCACGGATCTGTGCGGGCCGGCTGTTACTCGTGTGAATGAGGGCTTTAAGTGTGAGCAGCGGTTTGCCTCTGCAAAGTCCCAACTACTGCTCTCCATTTAGCCGGGAATGTGAGCTTTGCTGGGATTTATGCAGCAGATGTGTCTGGAGAGGAAATGTCTGTGTTGCCAATAGCAACACGTTTGGTTACTATATTGTATGCTTCCACTTTTCCCTTTTAAACACATTTTCAGCAAACCCTTACTATTCCTTTATTTACAATAAACAATATGTGCATAATGTGAACACTTTGTATGTACACCCTAACAATAAAACTTCTCTTATATGCTCCGTCCGGTCTGCTAAATAAAACCAAAGCATTGAATGTTTTATAACTTGTCAAACGTTTACAACTGTCCTATGCTTTCTGCCTGTGTTACTTCAAAAAGAGCCTGTTTAGCTCTCCTTGTTCTTTTCTTGGGAGGCTTTGAAGATGATTGAGTAGTTTAGCAAAAGAAAGCTGGGCAGGGCTGACACCGCAGTCCACAATAATGCTGTGGGTTGTCAGTCCACAACTGTAAATTAAAAGCAGAATGCATTTCAGGCAAATATATGTTTTGTTTTTTTTTGGTTTGACATACTATTTAACAAAGGGGTATAAAACTGCTGTATCAACAATTTATAGCATATTATACCAACAGAATGTCTTCAACGAGTCCGCCTAAGGCTGTCCATGCATAATCAAGGTGCATGTGCCCAATTCAATTACCTCGCCGACAACTGAGTAAAGATACAGCTTCTGTTGGAGAGAGTAAGGAGTCACAGATTGTTCTCTTTTCCACAATGAAAAGAAAACAAAATATTTTGTCATGTAATTCCTAGTGGCAAATTGGGCAGATATTCCAATAGAGCATTGATGCTTTTAAGAATACTTTTTAAGAAATGTTGTCCTTGGCGAGCTATCCCTCTACGGTCAGCTTTGGGCAGTTATAGCAACTGTCGCTTATTTAAAAAAAATAAAAATGATTGATTAAAAAAAGACTTCCCGATAAAAAAAGGGGTTCAATATCTATCACTCCTGCCACCAAACTTCACAGTCTTCAAGCGCTACTGGCTGCAAAATCTTCAGATGGCTGGTCCTCCTCTGAGCTCTGCGGTTCCTTCTGCCAACCCCAACATTACAGACAAACACAATAGTGACGTAGATATCAGCAGGAGGAAGCACAGGGTGCAGTGGGGGACCAGGCAATTACCACACCCAAAGTGTGTCTGTAGTCAGCGTAGCGCTGAAAATAGCTAAGATCAGCAGTGTAGGTAGCTGAAGGGGTAAGTTGCAGCTGGATCACAGTAAACTAGCTATCGGTAAACAGCTACAGAACATACATATGGAATGCCCCAAATAAACCATTATGGAAATGATTACATATGAAGCAAGAGTTAAAGATGTACTCTGTAAACCAGGGGTGCCCACAATTTTTTGTCTGGAGATCTACTTTTCAAATGACATGCTCAATGAGATCTACCAACGAAAAAACACCTGCATTCAGGGGCGGGAGGGGGCGATCACCCATACCCGGAACGCAGGTACATTAGTGCCTGCGTTCCGGTCCAGTGTGATCTGCAAAAATGCTTCAAGCACTGGGTGCGGGTGACCGCACTGCGGGCAGGGGGCATAGCTGCGTTTCTATTGACTACAATGCACCACCACACCCCCTAACGCAGGGAGCCGGCCGGCTTGCGTTCCAGAGGCCAAACACTCTGGAACGCAGACTTTGTGGCATGAGCCCTCTCTCTTGGCTCTCTCTTCTCTCTCTCCTCACACTCTCTCCCCTGTTTTTATCTGCTGTCTCTTCTCTCTCTCTGCTGTCTCTCTCCTGTCTGTCTTTTCTTATCTCCACTTGCAGGAAGTGATGTATCTCCTCTCGTGCACCAGCATCCTGTCCTCCCGCAGTGCTTGTGTGGCCGATGTTGCACTCGGGGAGAGGTGTCCCGCCCCTTCCCGCCTGCGGCGTCTGACACATTCAGCCGCACGAGCACAGGACACAGGTCACTGAGCCGATAGCGATCTACCAGTGTTCACCTTGCGATCGACTGGTAGATCGCAATCAACCTAATGGGCACCCCTGCTGTAAACTGTATTATTTTGATTGGCATTTCATTAAAAGGATAGCTAAATCCAAGATCAAAAATGTTATATATTTCAGCTTACCAGTCCTTTAATGTGGTGGAGGCTGCCTCCACAGATACACTGGAGGAGTAAACATAGCCACCCAAGGACAAGAAATGTGTTATTTTCATGATTACAGGTAACAATTATAGAAAAACCAGCCCAGAAATAGAAAACTGATGTAGCCACTTCATACAAGGACTCCTAAGTTACAATATATTAAATTTTTGGTTGTGGGATTAGATACACTTTCACTTGCAGTTCAAATTTTCAGTATCTTACCAGGCTGAAGCTTTCTTCCCAGGAAAGGCTCATCTGCATTGCAGCTTGGACTTCTCTGAATAAAGGAAAAAGAAAAAGAAAGTTAATATTGGCTGCAGACATATATACTTTACAGATAGCTCTGGAATCTCTGATGGAATACATTTGTTCAGTAGACAAACATTTTTGCATCTCTCGCGCGATGACAAAAATGGTTAAAAAAAATAAAGGCAACCTAAGCTGAGAAAATGATTTGTTGATGGCAATACTAGTTGTCTGGCTGTCATGCTGACACAGTGGCTTCAATACAACAATGTGGAAACACTATGCAGAGTTTTTTCTTCACTCTGAATTTCTAATTTACAGCTTTGTGCTGGGTCAGTGACTGAACGTACTGAACCCAGAGACAGACAGCCAGCCAGCAATGGCAGCCTCTGCATTTTCCTACAAGCGGATTTCCCATTTAACCAATGGAAAATAAGGGAATAGTCATTCTCATAACAACTCGGGGAGATGCTCTGCAGGGTGGCGTTCCTTGCCACTGAAACAGCTAAATTGTATGTGACGGCTTCTACGTACTCTGAACCACTGCGCTGTATAAATATGGGAAATAACTATTTCCATGTTGATACAAGATGAATATTTTCCTACACTGCTTCAGCACGTTGTAGGACAACGCATCCTGGTTTACCACATCCCAAGAGGGTACTAGAAAGCTCAAAGCAGTAAATATAAATCTTACACAAACTACAGCACCAGTGTGTGCTATAAACAAAGGAGGTTGTATACACAGCGAAAGGAAATTGGAAACCAACTGATTGCTTTAAAGGTCACCTTCACTTTTAAAAGACTTATTCCTGAATATACCTACAGTCACTGCAGACCTACACGCAGCCAATGCACCATACATGCAAGACGGCCCTAACTCTGATTTAAAGTATACGTAAACCCTAACAAACAGAATTATTTTATTTATTCCCTATAGGTCTATTAAAAAAAAACATTGAAAGAGTTTGGTCATATCTGAATGATGAGATAAGTAAAAAATACCCTTTGATCCCGCCAGAAATCTTGTGAGATCATTAATTTCTGTACACTATCTGTGCTGACTGTTATCAGTTAGCATTGCTTCCAGCCATCTCTGGGTACTACAAAACACCTCTCCCATGCTGTGAAGAAGATTGGAGGGGGAGGTGTTCTGTGGGGCTGTTGTAGGGGGACATCGCTGCTCCCTCATAGATAAAGTATGATAAGTGAGCGCTGTCACCCTAGGACAGGAGGTTTCTTAATAGAAGATTCACCAGGTGAAATTAAAAGGTTAAAAGAAAGTCTTAACAGGAAGAAAATTAATAGAGCCACCATGTCTAAGAACAGGTTAGCTATTATATATTCATTTTTTGTCTTTGGGTTTAGAAAAGCTATAAAGCCGAATTCTCAGGGCTTGAAAAATCCACTTGTCCGCGACGAGAGGACGGTGAAGCCCGACGAGCAGCTTCCACTAGAGACGCTCGATCGCTTGTATTAGCAGCTGTCACTGCCGTTGCAGGTCCCGAGATCCGTTGTGCCGATGCGGCCGGGACGGCACGGCTCTGTGACAGGAGATCAAAGGGAGATCATTATACGAACTCCCTTTGATCTCCTCTCAGTCCCCGAATGCAGGAAGTGATGTATATTACATCACTTCCTGCATTCAGTGTCAGTCTCCCAGCTACAGAAGCTGATGAAGCAGACCTTTGGGGGTTCCTAGGTGACATTAAGGGTCTTGGAGATCCCTGATGTCTCCATAAAGAGGACCTGTCATGTAAATTGGCTATCACATAGGGGGCTTCTTAGCCCCCCATGTAATAGCAATAAAGTTGTGTGTTAAAAAAAAAATAAATTATACAAAAATTAAAGAATCATAAAAAAGATAAAAGCAAAAAAAAAAGTAAAAAGAAAACATTTTTTTAAGTGCCCGCCCCCCACATACACACGCAGATATGCGTCGGGTGCGCCTACGTGCAAAAACGACTATTGTGCCGCACATGTTACATATTGCCGCGAACGTCGGAGTGAGAGCAATCATTTTAGATCCATTAATCACTGATAACACTAAACTGATGAGCAGTAAAAGCGTTTTAATCGCCGCATATGGGCGTATTTTGCGGACGCACGCAATTTTAAGGCTTGGCATGTTTGGTGTCTATTTACCCGACGTGGCCCCGTCTTTTATGTTTTACTAAAAATATGGGTAAGAATAAATGTTTTATAACATAACGTAGGGAAACTTTTTTTTTTTACATTTATGGTACTTTTTTCATTATATGGTAAACCTCCCCCCCCGTGGTGATTATATACCTCCAAAAGAAAGCTCTATCTGTCCCCAAAAAATGTGAACATAAATTGCAAGGCTATAGTCCGGTCATGCTGACTGGTGACATTTTTGACTGACTGGTGAGACACCATCAGATTTATCAAACCTGCGAATTCTGGTAAAGACCCCCAAACTCCACTTGCAGTGGGGCTTCTACCTCACTGCAAGGGTTAAATGCTCATTTAGGTCTAAGGTACCTGGGAAGAGGATATTTACTTACCTGATCCCCCCTACCACAGGCTCCAATACTGGCACCCATCGCTTCTCCCACCCTGTGTTCTGGCAGTCAGAGGCCCGCTAATGTCATGCAGAACATTACAGGGACCACAGACCTGCATTATATGTGAGGACATTGGACAAGCATTGGGGAGATGAGGTGAACAGGGACTGCTAGCAGATTGGGAATCAGGGTAAGAAAGTCCTTTACATAGGTACCCTGGACATAACCAATCAGGAGTTTTTCTTCCTCTCAGAAATAGGCTTTGAAAGTCTTTTTTACTGCAAGATATTTTTGCTGCATTGTTGAGGTTCCTGGCAGAGACCAAAGCAAACACTTCTAGTTAAATGTAACCTTCATTCTACTTTCTTCATTTCCTGGAAGAGTGAAGTCTGACCACTACATTAAAATGGGCCCTACAGAACACCAAAACTGCTATGTATAAGCAAGGCAAAGATGAATGTGCTGCAACTCCAATAACCGATTCCCCTTTGGTATGTCAAACTGAAATTCAATTGTTTCCACTGTTTCATCAGTCAGTTACTACACTTCATCAAAATGCTGCACCTGGATTGCTTTCCAAAAAAACACACAAACAGAGGCCAGGATGCACCTATTTGCCCATGGTTAGGTTAGCTGGAAATATACTTACCGCTCACGGGCCGTTTCACGATTCATTAAGTCTACTCCTTCCTCCTAATCAAAATAAATATATAAAATCGGTGATAAGAAAATGAACTAGAAAGTACAGAAGCAAAAATATGCAGAAGATATGTTCTACAATTTGACATGTAGGAATAAAAAACCAATTGCACAATCCCACACCCCTCCTAACTGCTTCTAAACCACACAGGGAGCCATTTATGAAGTTAAGAGAAAATGTGAACTAGTGAGGAAAGCAAATAGAACTGTTTTTTTTCCCATGCAATGAACGATGAAATCTGATTGGAGCGGCTGCCAGTGGTAATGAGTCTTGCTCCAATGTCCTCTGCTCTAGTTTACATAACTTATTCCTGGGCTCTATAAAGCAGACCTTCTATGAAAACAGAAGGTGGTCCACTCTATTCACAGACTCTCAAACATAAATAGTACAGCCTATTGCGGGAGAGCATTGAGCACCCAGCTTTCTCAGAAGGAACAGAGAGGCCATGTCACCCTCCCAGTGGTGGAGAGAACAGGGGTCCAGATATTTTATTTTTAACTTTTACTTTTGACAGACTTCTAAAACTATTTGGGCTGTGAGTAAAAATGTCATGGCAGATCCACTTTAAAAACATGTATTAAAGAGAAATAACATCATCTTTGTGAAAACTTGGGACAGTGTTTCAGAGTGGGAATTCTTTACAGTGGTCACGATGAAATAATTTCTGCTAAAAGTGCTAATTAAACTATCATGAATTTTTGCTGAGAATTCACTGTTTATACAGCACTTCAAAAGTAACATGGAGTTGTTCACCATTTTATGTGCTTTACCATGTAGTAAACGATAATTGACACAGCTCTGCCCATAGAGATATGGGGAGCAGTGAAGCACAATCAAAGTGCTACAGTACTGAGCAGGAAGCTGAGAGTACATATGAAATGCCTGTCCTATATACATGTAAACCTAAATGATACATACAGGGTATGCAACATGTTCACCTTAATAACAGGTTCACGTTTTAATGTGACACTAAACTCAGGAAGTAAATCTTATAAATGCATTCAAGTACCCTAACTGTTAACAAAAATGTATCTTATTTGTGTATCACTCGGCTGTAGATCCTCAAATCATCTCTGAATTGGTGCTGACACTGTCCTTCCTTCTGGAGGGTGGCTACTTTTGTTCCCCATGGTCCCTGTGTGTGTTGTAAAGTAGCCACCACTTCAAACTCACTCCTGGGATAGACTACACACTCATGTTTAGTTTATTGTATTGAGATTGTAGTCCATCACGGGAGCGACCTTGGAGCGGTGGCTACTTTACAACACACACAGGAACCATGGGGAACAAAAAGCAGCCACCCTCCAGAAAGAAGGACAGTGTCAGCATGAATTCAGAGATGATTTGAGGATCTACAGCTGAGTGATACACAAAAAGGATACATTTCTGTTCGGGTACTTGAATGCATTTTTAATATTTAACGCCTGACTGTCACTTTCAGTGACACTGACTGTCACTGAAAATGCAAGCTGGTAGCTAAATTGGCACCTTGCCCACACCATTTAGGCTTCAGAGTTAGTTTACATGCAAACACAAACGTCTAAAACTTTTATTTTACCCTTTTCAGCTGATACAGACGGCTGCTTGGGATTCGGATAGGAGAGGATGATGGTGCCTGCAGGCAGGAAAACAAAACACCAATTAATGAAACTCCTATAACTTTAGCATTCCTAATGGACGACATGATGCTAAAAACACAGCAAATTCTGTAGCAACTACATCCTCCTCCCAGACATCTGACTCACATAAGGCCCCATTCACACTAAGCGATTTATCGCGCGATTTCCGCCGCGATATAGCGCATTTTTGCCGCGCGATATCGCGAGAAGTCGCCGACTAATGCTAGTCAATGGAGCTGTCTTAGCTCCATGTCGCTGTCGCAAGTTGCTTCTACAGGAGAAGGTCGCGCTACTGTCGCTGGAACGTCACCCCGAATCCGCTGCAAAAGGTATGTCGCTTAGTGTGAATGGGCTCTGAGGGAACATACGTAAATGCTTAACCAGTTGACATCCGCGGTGTTAAACCCCCTTCCCATCCAGGCCATTTTAAGGTTGCATTGGTGAGGAAGGGGTGTATTTTGGAGATGTTGCGAAGGTGAAGGCGGCAGGATTTGGATAGTGATTGGATGTGGGGAAGAAAGGTGATGTCCGAGTCAAGGATGACACCTAGGACCTTTGCATGGGGGGGTTATATGGCTGTGTTAATCTGAATAGGCACATTCTTCCTCAGCTCAGACACGTAAAAGAGGAGGTCTCTGCAAGATGGTGGGTCTGATACAGCCACAGGGAAGAGGTTTTGCAGGTATGCATGCCTGCACAATTTTACCGTAGCTATTTTTCAGGGATTTCATGAAAAAAATGAAACATTTAACTCTGTTTTACAGAGCTAAATGTCCACATTTTATTCTGTCAGCACGTTTAACCTGCATGGGTCTTATTAACAGTTTGCTACTCAAAAGTTCCCAAAATAGTGAACTACATTCACTAGTGAATTACATGGTGAAATGTATCCAAAGGCCAGGCAAATGTTCCAGTGGTGGTAGCGTACTCCTTCTTAAAAATAAAGTCAATGCTTTTTTTGACTATACTTCTCTTTTGAGCCACAGGAGGCTAGGGCACAGTATCAGCTGACAAGACAGATCCACACTGTGGTCAAGAAAGATCCTGACAATATTGTTGGGAACCACCTCGGCTGCCTAATTGACAGCTGGCTCTGTCTCTCTGCATGCGGCTGAGAACTAGCCACGCTTGCACCTTCCCTTTCTGTAGCTCCAGCATGTGCCAGAGAAGGAAATCCCTGCAGGAGATGATGGCTAATGATCCCTGCACTCTTCTGGGACCAGAAACCAAGAGCTGACTGATCAGCAGTCATGTGATAGGTCAGCTCTCAGTCTTAGTGCCAGTGTGGGATAGCTGCAGCATTCTAGGCTAGCTCTAAGCATCAGGGAGAGAATGATTTACTCTCCCCGTACATCTCCTTTAACCACTTCAAGACCAGGTGTTTAGACCCCCTTCCTGGCCAGGCCATTTTTCAGTATTCAGCGCTACTTTACTTTCACAAACATTGGCAACAGGACATGCAATAGTTAAAGATTGCTCATGAAATCTGATAAGAAGTGTCAGTTGTCCAAATCTATCAATCACCTTCCAACTGTCAATGCCAGAAAGCATCTGAACTATTATAAACCAGTCCCTGTTATGCCTCTTATCTTACCTGACTTTGACGATTCACCACAGTAGTGCTGTTTCTTCGAGCTCTGGATCCGCAAGGCTGAAACACCTGACAGTGATCACTGCAAAATAGAAATAAGCTTACATTAAAATCTACCTTAAGGTGCCCATACACCTTACGACAAAAGTCTTGCGATGGTCGTATGCTTCTTGAAAGCCTGTACGATCTGCCCACCTTGGACGGGCAGATCGTACTTGCGATCATCGAAAGCCCGCCCCGCTGAGGGGCGGGCTTCCGATGACGGCAATGCAGAACGGGCAGTGTGCGCGTGCGCACACTGGCCCGTTCCGCAGCTATCGGGCGAGCAGGCTAGGCGGGTTTTCGAACATGTTGGCTCGACAAAAGACGTGCGACCATACAGTAGAAACGGTTGCACGTCTTAGTTCACACTGCTCGATTCTCGTACGATCGCGGGATTTCGCCCGATTCTCGTACAAGAATCGAGCAGTGTATGGGCACCTTTACAGAGAAACATTGAATGTGGTATTAGCTAATTCTTTGTACAGCTGCAAGTGCTATGGCTGTCACCATCATCCTTCCATTTCTACAAATGACATTTTGAAGCTTGATGTCATGTAATAAAATATAATGTTTCTGCTTATCCAAGTACTTCCTTGGCTACCTAAGATGTCCACAAACATTTTCTTCTTGGTCTTGTCATATTTATGGTCTTCTCTACAATAGGATGTGCTGCCTTTAAATCGAATGTCCAGTTCCGGTTCAGATATAAAAATATAATAATTCTTTGTCTAATGTTAAGGGACTGCCACTGAAAAGAAATGTTAACGGGAGATCAGCGACCTGTGAAAACATGCTCTTCCACCAGCAAAATTATAGTCAAAGTTACAGTGTGCCAGACCAATGTTAATGTCCATTCCTCTCAAGTTATTGCCTTGGAAGAGAAGAGGTACATTCTTAAAGTGGAACTACAACCTCATATCCCTTTCAGCCGAGGAAGGTGCCATCTTAGTCCTTATTTGGATTGCAGTTGCCATGGTGCTCCACATGTGATCGGCTATGACACCAGCCATTTAACCTCTTGCCGTCCGCCCGTAGTAAAAAAACGGACGGACGGCACTGCAGCATGTCCAGGCGGCATTTTTTTTCTGCTCGCGCGCGCCCCCTAGCAAGCACGCACGGGCAGAAAAGACCCGACGATAAAAGTTTGGTTGAGAGCTGACAGCCTTGACAGTTGGCAAGTACCTGGTTTGGAAGACATTAAATTGGTGGGTAAAGTTCCCCTTTAAGGCCTTCAGCATCCGAGCTCCTTGCCTGCCTTGCAACTTCTCTACTGGATTATATCAGCAGGGTCTGCGAACACCAGAATCAAGAAGAACACCAATGTCCTCACAATGTACCTGCAACTCCCCTCCTCTCTTCCAAGGGGAGGACGGACATTAACATTGCACTGGCAAATAATACCCCCAGCTGCTGGGGGGGGTCCGCAGGGCAGAAGCTGGCGGCCCTCACTGCATGTGATCTGTCCCAACATGAAGTCTGATTACTGAGAAATTACCTGTTTTGTTGAGATGTAAGATAAGGATTAAACTGCATAGTGGAGCACTTGACCGAGTGACAAAGCGGAATCAACAGGAGGCACTTTTGGATGAAGTAAGAGGCACTACGCTGATCAGGATACTCATGGATACTGTGCCCTTGGTCTATATCTTTTGAGCATTGGTTAGCCGTATAAGATAGAATAGTCTGGGCACAGCAAGCTCCTATAGAATGAGTCAATTAAGATTACTAACTGCAACAGCCATAATATTTGCTGATGGGTTAGAGCAGGGGTGGGCAATTCATTTTCTCAAGGGGCCACGTGAGAAACTGGGACTGTTGTAGAGGGCCGAATGCTGGGGGCGAGGAACACATTTGACGTCACTGGTTGCAAGGACCACCCGGCGGTCCCAGTAGGCAATGACTGCAGAGGAGGTGGACATGTTACGTCATTGGTTGATATGATGCCAGCAGTGATAGCAACCAATCACTGCAGAAGATGTGGACACTTGATGTCATTGGTTGCTAGGACCCCAACGGTCCTAGCAACCAATGACTGAAGAGGAGGGGGCCTGCATTGGGCTATGGCTTGCAGTGGAAGGCTGGTATATCCACTGTCAGCCAACCATAACCCAGCGGAGGTCAGCAATTGGTCCGTGTCCAGCCAAAGGGCCAGATGTGGCTTCCGGCCCATAAAATGCCCAGGTCTACGTTAGAGGAACATCATGCTGAGTTAAAAAGTAGAAGAAATATTGTTTTGCTTTACCTGCCTACCTACTCACAGACAGGAAACATGTTCACTCAAATCCCGGGAACAGGGGACCCAATGCTTCTTAAAATTTACAGCTGGCGTCTAACTTTTGAGGTTTTCGAGTTATCGTCAATGGAGCTGGCTCCAAGAAAAACATTATGCTGGCTCCTGGATTGGTCAGACTAGCTCCTTAATTCCATATTAATTTATCACCCCCCTGGATTAACTCTGAAGTTGGCTTGGTTACTCTGGCAATAAAGAATAAGCCTGGCCACCTTTTACTGGACTGTGTCACTTACAGTTTTAATATGATTTTAATCATTAAATTGTGTAAGCATTTTTCCTTTTCATGTTGCCTGCAGAAAACTACAGGCAGGGGCGGAGACAAGACCAGTCACCCTGCACAAAGACAGAGCAGCAGTGACTGGTCTTTATTACAGGAAGCTCCTGATCAGAGGCAAAGTATTCATGCTGTCATGCTGGAGTAATGCACAGATGTGGAAGAAATATACACAGTACACCAAGATTTAGGACCACACACTTCTTGTATTTAGACAAAATTTGGAACCGGTCACTAGGACAGGAAGTGATGGTACAACTTGCTACAGGGACACAGCAATAAAAAAAATTTTTAAAAACTGGCAGAGGTGCTAACTTTTTGGTCATGCTACTAAAAATATTATTTACTTTTGTGTCACTTTCGGGGAAAATTCCACTACTTTCTGTCCCTGGTTGCACTCGAAAGTCAATGAGAAATCATGTAAATCTGAACACAGCATTCACAGAGGTTCAAACACTTTCCTGCTCTATACAAAAACTACATTTAAAAAGCTTGGCCTGGAGTTCCACCTTAACAGCATACATGAACTCATGCACATGTGGACAAGTGTTTGGAAGTGTTTTACATGAGAAGAACGACAATTATCTGGTCTGAATGGGAAAATGCAGTTACGCACTCTGCCCCCATTTAGGCCATTAGCCTGTCTCCGACCCCTCTCCTGCTCTACGTCCGCAGTCTCCGAACCCTCTCCTGCGCTACGTCCGCAGTCTCCGACCCCTCTCCTGCGCTACATCCGCAGTCTCTCGACCCCTCTCCTGCCCTACGTCCGCAGTCTCCGCCCCCTCTCCTGCCCTACGTCCAGGAAACCCTAATCTGGCTTTTGAAAGCGGCAGCTGTCACCTATTCAAGTTAATGATCAGGTGACAGCAACTGCATGTAAACGCCTGCACACTGCATGTAATGGTATGTGATATGATTACATTCGGTTAGGGACCAGTCACTCTCCCTGTACGCAATGATGGTGTATTCAGGGAGAGTGTTTTCTAACCGCATGTAATAATATCACATATCATTAAATGCGGTGTGCAGGAGTTTACATGCAACTGTTGTCACCTGATCATTAGGGATTCCTGCTGCAGGAAAACACAAGATTCTGACGCAGGAATCCCTAATTGCACCTAAACCTACAGATATGAATGGGGCCTTATTGTGTGTGTATTGGGGTCCGTAGTACCATATCGCATATAGTTAAAATTTATTTTAAAAAGTATGAAATTTGGCAAGCGGCCCCATGGGAGAAAAAAATGTGTCGAGTGGCCCTCGAGGGATTTGAGTTTGAGACCCCTGCTCTACATCAAGTAAGTTGATCACTCCTGTCCTTGAGGGTACTGTGCAGCACAACTCCCTGTAAACGGCTGGCAGCCCAGTAAACTTCTTGCACACAGTAACGGGCAAAGCAGCCGAGATGTGAGCTTCTATCCCAAAACAGTCCATTGATTTCCACATTCTCCTAACACCACACCGGGCCCCATACCCAGCAGTGCACAGGGCCCCCTCCTCCTCCCCCACACAGCCTCACCTGAGCACATTAATATGGGGGGCACTATTGGATCTCCTCAGGCTGCCATCGCTAGGGATGTCCACGTCCAGCTCCATTTTCTCCTGAGCCATGATGGCAGCGATGCTCCCTGGATAGTCCTCCCTCCCTCTGCGGCTCATTCTCCCCGGTATAGGCCTCGGTAGAAGCGCTCAGGGCTCCATGGTACAGCCAGGGGAGATGATCGTTCCTGTCCTGGCGCCCTCTGCACTGGGTGAATCCGAGGAAGCCCCAGGACAGCTCAGGCCCAGCCAAGCAATCCAACCCTCTCTCTATGCTGAGACTGAGCAGCTCCAAACGCGCATGCGCACAACACCCGCCTGTGTGCTGAGTGAGCACAGAGTGTGTGTGTGAGGGGCGGTGGGAGCGGAGACACCCCATACATGACAACCCTGCAAAACCCATTTCCGGGGACAATTCACCGTATACACTGATATCACTAGACTAATAAATCACAATACACATACATGCTTCATATATGTAGACACAATAGATCTATAATCATTATACGGAGTTCAGTGTTTTAAATTCAATGTCAGGAAGGTCTCCTCCATGTTCTCATGATATCTGTTCAATCGTTGTGTAAGGTCTGATGTTTTAGGGCTCGTTCACAGCAGCCCCATTGGGTAGCAATGCCCGTCTCATAGACCAGGACTAAAACAAAGTACTACAAGTCGCATCTTTACGCAGTGTGTTGCAATGCACAACAAAACATTGGTAAGCACGGCCATGTATAGATTGAATGAAAATGTAATGTAAAAAAAAGTAAACAGTGCGATGTATCGTAACAACACATCACAACACCCCTACAAAACACACACCAGCACGGGTACGTTACAGAGAGTATAGCGCCTATTCACTGGTGTGAATGGGCTCTAAAAGTGTGTTGGAGCCAAAACTTTTTTTTTTTTAGTGTTGGATAGAACAGAGCTAAAATCCTTGACGGATATTGTTTTTTTCCCCCCATTACTTCCTGTTCTAGACATGCAACATGAAGTTATAGGAAATCTCCCAAAGTGAGGGGACTTTCTCTTACACCAGTGGCCATTTTTTTGCACTAGGTCAATGTCACTCACCAACAACTCTCTATGTGCTCCCTTCACACTGCATGGCTCCAGAGGCCACCCCAGCACACAGACCTGAATGGAGTGCTCACTTTGTATACAATCAATAAAGTAAAACAGAAATAAAGTGTGCCTTCTGTAGCGGTGTCTTGCATAATGCAAGGCACCAATGCCACCCAGCGAACATTAAAATGGTGCATTATAGACAGTTGTCCCTTGAACAGGTGTCCCTCAAGACAAGAGTCTGTGGACTGAAGCTGGGGGCCAACGATTCAGGCTGTGTCCAGTCCCCAAGGAGGGACACTGTAGGCTGCCTCAGAATTGTTAGTGGATCATGAGCTGAAGAAGACCCAATTCAGCTAGTCTGCTGCCCTTGCATTTTGGAACTGACATGTTGCCATGCTAGAGCAAAGCAAGTTATACTAATAGCACCAAGAGAAAAAAAAACCTTAGGTAATCACATCAGCTGCAGCGAGCAGGAAAGGTTCAATGGCCAGAGGTGGGGTACTATATGTCACCATAGGCAGCAGCATGGATCAACTGAGGTGGGGAAAAAAAACTTGTGTCCCTTGCAAATAGTGGCAATGGCTAGAAGAAACTTCCTCACAATGAAAAGGCAAGGGACAGAGTGTGGAGGGCACACACGCATGAAACTGCACTTAACAATACAGCACTGAATTGCCCAGTGCTTTGATTCCTTCTGCAGAAACTGAGATAAGAGGGATAATGGTGCCTCTTAACAGGACCAGTAATTCACAATGCTTAGACACATAATAAAGGAGTCTTTAGAGCAGGGGATCTTAAACTACCGGCCCATGAACTGGTAACTGGGATGCGGACTGCAGCTGGCTGACAAGCCAGGCACACTGTCACGGACCATGTACCTGACTTGTGGGAACAGCAGACTGAATAGCTGTTCCAGACAGTGCCACCACTCAGTAGTTCTTTTCGGCCGTGGGGGCTCTGACAGCCTTCACTGAGAGCCGGTCCAAAGGAAGGATTAGTAAGGTCTGCACCAGCCAAAGGTGCAGACTGTACTAATCAACCACTAAGGAATGTGCCCCTTTCCCTGCAAAAAGTGTAAGCAGGTGAGGGAGCTCTTTTTTTTAAATTTTGTGTGTGTGTTCAAGGGGGGAGAGAGTGTGTGTGTGTGTGATACACAAACAATAAGACATATTCCAACATCACTCACAGAAATCCTGACAATACACACATCTGTTTTGAAGAATGACATTTTATGACATTTAGCAAGTGGCCCCCATGGAAGAAGACAATTTGTCCATTGGCCCTCCAAGTGAATTGAGTTTGAGACCCCTGCTTCAGAGGCTTACCATGGTCATGGTCGTGGTCCTGGTCCTGGTCCTGCAAAGCGCTCTGCGACTAAGGATGGCCATACACTGCTCTATTTTTTTTTTTGTTCAACCTGCTACGAGTGTGTCAATTGAGGAATCCTGCTGTCTGCATTAAATCCTGACAGCGGGCTCGACCAGAGCTCATTGGCTGCCGGCTCTGGCCGTACAAAGATTCTTCAGGCCGGTCCCTTTGATCAGCTGATTGGGGGATGCCAGCAGAAAGGGTGCCAACAGTGGCATGCACTGTGTGAATTTTGGTGGTTCTTCAAGAACCGGCCAAAATTCAGTGTATGAGCACCCTAACACAGTACACAAAGTCTGGAAATTGCCACAAGCAGAGCCCAGTGCCCAAAGTTCACATTCCAGGTTAACTTTGCCTTGTGTGCGGGAATACTAATAAAGTGGGTCTTTAGAGATTGGGTCGCACCAAAGTCTGAACCCTGGCTCTGGACTTTGAGAGCCTTTTGCGGCAAACATCATACACAGGGGTCTGCAATGCCCCACAAGCAGAACTCAGTGTCTGAAGGTCACATTCCGGACAGGTTCCACAATCTTGAGTCTGGGTTTTGGGTACAGCCTCCAAAAGGTATTGCTGAGGAAAACCGATCGGGACAGCTGCATAAATTGCTGTCCAGCATGTACAGAAAGTCTTAATTGAAGCAAAAAAAAAAATCTTAATAAAAAAAGAAAGAAAAGGTGTGCATTGTCCTAGGACTCTAGTTATATCTGACTGGCTAATAGCTTTTTTTTTTTTTTTTAAGTTTGCCAGTGTCCAATTCCTCTTGTAGGTGGCAATATAGCCCAAATAACTAAATCCTGTGTCCCTTGACGAGCAAGAAACAATATTTCACCAGACTTTAAAATCATATTAAAAGGAGAGATCCAGGAATCATCTTTGATAGGGACAGTGGGAGGTACTGGAAGTGTGACATGTTAATTATTCTTACCTCTATGCTACGGATTATGAGACTCAGAAAGTACAGCGTTACATTACACTTACCCCCTACCAGGCCATTCTGAAGATAATTCCTGGATTTCTCCTTTAACCTCCCTGGCGGTCTGATTATTTTATTTTTTAACTATTAAAATTCCTGCCGGTTCCGCCCCCCTGCGACACGGACGCTCGCAAGGGACGGACCCCGGAAGACGGATGCTGGCATCGGCCGGAGGACAAAGCGGGGATCGTGGACAAGGTAAGAGACGCTACGCTGTAATCCCGAGTGTGGCTCGGGGTTACCGCTTATGGTATTGAAAATTAACCCCGAGCCACACTCGGGAATACCACCAAGGAGGTTAAAGTGCATCTGCTCGCAGACTATGGACATTCAGTCCATAAAAAGTTTTACATAATCTTAACAAGCAGCACAAGTTTTAACTAAACAAGTCATCCCTGGCCTCTATAGCTGCATGTACTGTGAAGTAATTCATTCTCAAATATCTCTGTGGGTTCTGTAAAATTGTGTGGCAATCCCACAGTAGAACTGGGGGTTGCAGTCACCCAGAGGGAGATTTCTAAGAGAACTGGGAGGGAAGAAATCATTATTCCTGGGTCTGGGCTTTAGTGGTGACCAGCACTGAACGATTCTGCATCTCTGTAAAGCTCTTATGAAAAGGATGCTGGCTGAGGTTCAGTGCTCCAGCTGGGCAGAGGAACAGAGGTGTTCAGGAGTCCTCCACCCAGAAGTCAGAGGGGACCCAGGTGGCTGTGTGTGCTAGAGGTACAGGGAAGACAGCCAAGGAGACTTAGAGAGCCAGTTACACACACAGTATGTGCGACAATCTTTAGTCGGTGACCCAAGGGACCTGGTGGACACACTGCTGAGAGAGTAGTGAGTGCTCATGAGGGGTGAGCAGTGTGAGTATCACACAGAGGTGTGCTGAGGACTGTACATGCTGAGGAAAAGCAAATTATTATAAAAGGTGCCCATACACCTGCCGATTATAGTACGATAATCACAGGTGATTCTGCGATCGTACGATTATCGGCAGGTGTATGGAAGGCGTGCACCCGTTTCTACTGTACGGTCGCACGTCTTTTGTCTCCTAAGCACGCTTAAAACCTGCCGAAAAACGTAAGATTTACAGCGGGTTAGTGGCGTGCTTGGAAGACAAATGCCGAACGGGCCGGTGTGCGCAAGCCCACACTGCCCGCTCAGCATTGGAATCATCAGAAGTACGATCTGCGTGTCCAAGATGGGCAGAGCATACGAGATTTTAATTACCTTACAACCATCGCACAACGAAAGTCGTGCGATGGTTGTAAGGTGTATGGCCAACTTTAAGCGCTCACCATATGTGCTCAAATTCCCCAAATATCACAGGTCTTAACAGCTTTAAACATCTGAAGTTGTTATACATTAGAGGGCTGGAAGGCCCCTAAGATTCAGTTGTAGCAAAAAAAATTACAGTACTTATGCTGTGAACTTTGAAGAGGACTTTCTCCACAATACCTATATGAATGAGGCCTTCTTTTAATGCGTTTTTATGGCTTGTTCAGAATATGCTAATACTTTACTGTGCAAAGTCTGCGCCTACATAAAACAAGCAATTAACCCTTGTAATACGAGGGAGGGGGGCACAGTCTAATGAATTTTTAGAGCCGGCTGGAGTTCAGCTTTAAAGGAGAACTATGAGATGAGTGATTTCCACTCACCTCATAGTTCTAGCCGACCTGTGACAATGAGACTGTCACAGGTCGGCTCAGTAGATCGGGAGGTGAGCGAACACATACCAGGTTCGCTCACCTCTCGATCCTGTCACGGCTCTCTGCCGTGACAGGGGGAGGGGCTGGATTCCCCTCTCCCCGATCTGCCAGCGCTGACTGGCGGAAGGGACGGGGGGGGGGTGGGTACAGCTG